GTTGTTCTCCGGAAAAAATTTTTACCGGGAAAATTTTTGAGATAGGGGGCCCCTCAAAAAAATTTGCCCCGGGCCCCCGCCAACCTCTTGGCGGCCCTGTCTTTATATAAAAAAATTTATATAAAAATCTTTATACAAAAATTATCTAATTTAATAGCATGCAGGCAACAGTTTTAAATGCGCGAATACCGCGGACTCAACCTACACATAACTCCGTTATCTTCTATACTACATTGGACAAAACCCTTGAGTTCCAAGGATGGAACCCGGGGGGGGGGCAAAATCTCAAAAAAGGGCACTTCCTCAACACGCAAGCTCAACATTGAGTCGAGGGAGCAGGGTTTGATATGCGCCACATGACTCCACATGGAATTTATCACAACCGGTATTCGAATTCTGTATACAGGGAAAATAGTCTGAAACAGTTATGTCCAAGATTGTAGCAGGACGAGAAGTTCTTTCGTTGTATCGATGGCTTGATTAGCTTTTGGAAAAGGAGTTAGGCTATATCTGCGAGTTTCCAGGCTGGTCCCGATGCTTTTTATTTATTAAGGCTCTGTAATGAATTGTAAACACGGTGTGTGGAAACATATATTAAAAAATAAAAGTTCGTCAAGTTTAGATTAGGGTTAGATTATGGTCAGATTAAGATTAGATTAGAGTTAGAGGTTTGAGTCGGGGTTAGATTATGATTAGGGTTGAACATGCGTCGCGAACTTATTGTATAAATAAATTCGGACGTGTTTAAACTTTTATTCATATGATAAATTCAAAGGTAGAGCTCATACTGGGTGAACACGATCCTAACTCATTGTAACAACGATATCTGCATGCTAATGCCAAAAACGTCAGGACGATATCACGAATTGCTTCAAAGAATGATTCATGCCAAAAAAATAATCAATGACTCGATCAGACAAATAGGCGTCACCAGTAGTTATATGCAATTACTGTATTTTCAGTACGAACGAAAAAGACTTAATAACAGGTAATGAAAATTGGCCAAATCGATAGTCAATCAGATTGAAATGCTGCTGGCTACGATCAGTTCCCGCAGTGATTTGCGCAGTGATTAACGTGGGCTAAAAATAGGTGTTATTCGAGAACACCAATTTCCGGTATCGGTGTCATTGATCTCGCGCCAACCAATGAAATTGTAAATTTCATTCCAATTCTCCGGAGTCATGCCCAGCACCTAACCTGCGAACGGGCATACTCTGGAAATGAGATTGGAATAATGGTAGAGTTGACATGACATTTTATCTTTTGCACTTTTATTTTCAAATTTCACAATCAAAAGACAATATCTCATTTTCCTGCGGTCCATTTTTCTGAATCCGTTTTGACGATTTATAGTTAATAGAGAAAAATTTGAAGCGAGGTTTAAAAGAGAGATTTCTAGACGTTCTTGAACACGTTGAATAACGATTGCATAAACTCTGTTTTGTAGACTTTCATGCTTAGCAAATGTGCAAAGTTTGAAAGAATTTCACCAAAAGAAACGCGAGAAAAATAGCCCTATTAAAAGTCCAGTTGATGCTGCTGACGTGACAAAATATCGCGTCGACATCATCACTAAGTGTGAGTCACTAAGTCACAAGTTTGACTTTCAGTTTTTGGCTTACATGTACCAAACAATGTTTTTTTTTAGTTCGCTGAGATAAAAATATAAGATATAAATTCAAAATACGAAAAAAGGAAGACACAATAACGGATTGAATTTCCTTTTCTAAATTTGGTTTTCTTATAAAAATCAGTGTAAAAACGTTTCGAAACATTCAACTAGAGTTTGTCTTTTCGTATAAGACAACTCGTAACTGTCTGCACTATAAAGTTTTATTAGATTCAGCAGATAAAACACTACATGTGAATTGACAGGACTTAGAAGTGCCTTGGAGGTAATATAAAATATCATTTCAGTTTGCGACCCGTTGATGACAATTCTGCACATTATAAAATACGTAAAAACACACTGAAAGACTAACTCAGAGATCCCAAGGATAGTGCAAAGTTGATATGACAAATGATAATTAAGATTTTAATATGTTGATTCGCATAATGATTAATGTATGAACTGATAGGATTGATGCATGTATAAGGAAGTTGTTTGGCGTTTGTTTATATATTACAAGCCACGACAGTAAATTTTGTTGTTTTCGCATGGATGATTTTCCACGGCTTAATCCCTTGAATGGTGGCTTTAGTCCAGATCTTTTTTCTTTGCTTTTAATTCAATTTTCTACCCATTTGTTGTTGTATATTTAACACAAAACAAAATAAACCGCCTTCGAAAATCGAAATGAAACAAAAATGAACAGCTTGCCAGGTTGGAATCCGTGAAAATTTTACGCCGGAGGTTACGCCAACTGGACACCGACTAATTACGTCACATCCGGAAATAACTACGATTTTTAATGCAAACGGAAATGGCCGCAAAATATCACCTGGCCAGTCAGCAGTCAAGAACTTAAATCCAAGTCAGTTGAAGACTACCATTTCAAATAAATATCCAAAAAGCTAAAGATCTTAAAATGTTACAAGATACCTGTAAATATAATCAGTTTCCAAAGTATCAAGATGTATAAGTAAATAATTTGGTGTTATTTTTCATCAGAAGATTCTTCAATCTTCATAATTTACGAATTTTACGGAGTTTAACGACCCGCCGACGATCAGATGATCATTCATTTGCTCCGCTCGCCCGCCGATGGCGTAAAATATCAATAAATTTTACGCTGGAGATATCCAGCGTAACACGCACGGATTCCAACCTGGAGTCAGCTTGCAAGAAATTGTTGTCACCTGACAGGACGAGTTCAAGTCGACTGCGTGCTGGCCACGTGCTCCAGAAGTTGCTGTCTAATGACTTTACAGTA